TTTATTTACTACCATTTTAATAAATATAGGTAAGCTTGTATGTAAAAAAGTCTATATAATTGTTTAAATAAAATGATATTGCAAATATACAGTCGTGTAAAAATGCTGAAACATGTAAGTCTCAAGGTCTTAATTGACTCTATCCTTATCATTATGACAAGGTATCTTTGCGAAACAAGCATCCAAAGGCAAGGTGTCTATAGTAGTGTGTTTTACTATTAGATGGAATGAGGGCTTACACTGCCTTGGTTTGCAGTGGGGCTTACATGTAGTGTGAGCCTTGTTGCATAAGGATCGCAACATGCAACAAAGACATATTCTTCTTGTGCCCACCCCCCCAGTCTACGCAACTGGTGCTTGTGTTGTATATGCCAAGTATTCGCGGCTGGCTGGTTTTACCATTTATAACGATCTGGAGTGTTGTTAAGGAATTCTTCCTCCTCAGGTGTGTTTTCTCTTCCAAGTGGTTTGTTCCGCTGAGGGTATCTTCCAAACTTGTCTATGACTTCCTGTGAAGAGGAGAATTTTTTATAATTATTATTATTATTTCATTAATTTCAGGTCTTCCCTTATCTGTGAGAACATCATCAATAAGCACTAAAAGAGCTAGTATTCTCCCCCACCCCCCCCCCGTCCCACCTTACAGCACACCGCTCGCCTCCTCCTTCACAAAACTAGAATTGAACTGATTTTCTTGTCGTCTCATTGATTATCACTGAATCACTTAGGGTTAAGTTTTCAATCAGCAGAGATGCTTTACCTTGTGTCTTGTGGCAAACTCCAGAACTGCCTGGGAATTTTCTGCATGATCTGTACCCTTGAAGTCTTCTACCAGCTTGGACATTAAACCCACTGACAGTTCCTAAAAGAATATTAACATTTATGGTCTCTAAATTTAATTAACAGAAACTTGAGTTGTGGGTTGAATTTGATTTCTTGGAAATAGACACCATTTCCTTCACAAATTTAGAAATTAGTCCTGTTGGTGAAATTCCCAGCAGGATTTACAAAAAGAAAAAGTCCAGAATGAATAACAAAACTGACACAATCCCTGCTGGAATCATGCTGAGAACATGTCTGTTATTTGTTAAGAATCTTTTACGACCAAAAAGACTTCCAGTCTTCTGCACAGTGTATTCCCACTAACCTGATCTTCCTTGTCCTCACTGTGTTCAAATGGCAAATAGATGAAGACTCTTTCATTATAAGCTATATCCAAATGATTGTGAGTTTTTCCTTCAAGAAACTAAATTGTGTGAAGTAATAACATTAACAAATTATAAATCATTAGTATTTTTCTAGTTCAGTACATCGGCATATATCATATATATGCATGTGCACAAATGTTGTGAGGGATTAATGAGGACTAAACTTTATGAGGGACGACATGGCTCCTAAGACAAATTTGGTATGTAGGTCTACATTAGAAATCGCCATAGAATCAAAACCTGCGAAGTTACATGTATACTAAAGGAAGGTAAAAATTAACAACTTCAATCACAAAATAGAAGACCTTTCACCAATTCCTGATTTCTTAAACAAAATTAATATTCATTGATCCATTAAAGTCCAATCAATTACAGATGAAAGACAGTGAGAAGTCATTTGCTGCCATATGAACTGTAATGCATCTTCTTTCTGACAAAATCTGGTTATCAGAACCTGCATAATTACACAAAGTGACCCACCTTTCGTGAAATGACTCTGGCTCTGGTGTCGCCGGCAAATGCTTTGGCAGTATTCTGTTTGAAAGAAGTGTATGATGTATTCAATCATATAACTGCTATAATTTTTAATTTTATTATGAATTTACCCATTTTCTCCCATTGAAATAAATTGCTGTCTTATGACAGAGCTAGGACTGTTATACACCATAGGGGAAGGGCCAGAAGGCTGTCCCCCCTCCCCAGCCTTTTGTTTTTGAAAGCTGATAATCTTCTGGGCCTCCCCCGATATTGAAGCAATGAAAGGGACCACTTTCAATGTCCTGTACCCTAGAAAAGTCTCTGAATTTTGGAGAGTTTCAATTTAACAGAGCCAATAATTAATATTAATTAATTTAAATTTCATTAATTGATGAATGAATGAATGAATGAATGAATGAATGAATGAATGAATGCTTTATTTAACGTGGATATACACTTAGCTTGAGAGGTAGTTTACAGGTATTCCACCTAATAACTAATGAAAACCTAACAACTAAACAATGCTAATATCACAATTCATCAGGTAAAATCACAAATTAAATACTGATTAAAACTATTCAAAACTATTATTACAATATTACCACTGCAGTCAAAATACTATTAAAACTAATGTCGCAAATTTACTAATCCCCGAAATTTTAGCGATCTAATTCTGTTTACTATTTCATTGGGGCCTACTTTTATTCTAATGTCATTTGATAGTTCATTCCATTTCTTGGCTGCAAAATATCTCCATGACTTTTAAGTGGTAAAATGTTTTTCAGTCTATTAAGGGCGTTTATTTGAGCACTCACTTTGCGGCAAATACTCGATACACGATCATCAAATTTTAGCTTACTGTTGAGTACAACCCTCAAGAGGTTAGTCTTTTCTGTGGTCCTAACATGATAGTGTTGAACATTTGTTTGCATATTGTTTGTTTTAATAAATATATCTTACAATATTTAACAATCATTGATGCTCTTTTTAACTCCTTATTTTATTCAACATACCCTGTAAATACTTCTGGTAAATTGATCCGTGAGTAGAACTAATGCTAATGATGGTTTAGGTTCCAGCTCCCACTCCTTCATCTCTCCTTGGACAGCTTTTTCAACCTGAAATAGATAAGCCAAGTTTAATTTTCACAGTCAACAGAAAAAAACTGAATCATTTGATGGGATAAATTGTTCCAGCTGATAAATTGTGTATTTTTAGCCTACAAATTAATTTTCTCAGAGAAGGTCCCCACACAAAAGTGCCAGCAAGATTATTGCTTGAAAATGTTCTCACTTTTTCTCCCTTGTTCTCTATTGAATTCCATTGTTCTGTAAAATTTTTGTCAAAATTCCCTTGAATAATAGAGGCATCCCTTGTCCCGGCTCAAATGAATCCCAAAAACATCCCTTTTTCCTTAAAATAAATTTCACACCAACTGGCATCCTTACCAATAGCCTGTGTAGCTGGTGGGATTACACGCATGAGTGTTTTTGTTTTGGTGGCGAAGCCATGAACGTGAGCGATGAAGCTGTGAGGGGTTTGGTGAGGAGTCGCGTCATGGCTTGCAAATTTCCTTGCAGGCCACGAGGAAAAAGGACTGGCGGCTCTGCCGCCAAATATCGCTCACTCGCGAATCCTGCCAGCTACGCAGGCTATCTTACCAGCACCTACAGGGAATCCTCCTCCCCCTCAGAAAAGGTGACTGTGCCCACTCTCCCCTGCCCTGAATTTGGCAAAAAGTATACAAACTAAATTTTAATATTATTTTACTAACCACGGATCCAAATTTTTGACGCATTTCCTCATCCACTTGTGGTCCACCATGAAACCACTTCTTCTCTGCTCCTGGACTAAACCAGTAATCAAGAACATTTTTCCACTGATCTGAGACATCACCTGAACATAGGGACCTTGAAATCACTCTTACAGCACTGCCACATGCATTCACCCTGAAAAACAATGAAAGTAATAATTTGTAAAACAGCACTGATGCTTATTGGTTTGTACTGAAACCCAGAATGGTGGAACGCCAGAATGCCAGAACACCAGAATGCTGGAATGCTGGAACGCTGGAATGCAGGAACACTGGAATGCCAGAACACTGGAACACCAGAACACTGGAACACTGGAACACTTAAACCAAGACTGTTGGAAATACTAAAACGCAGAACACAAAATTACTAAAACCTGGAACGCTTAAAAAAATCCTAAATGGTGGAGTAATAAAACCAGGAACACAAAATTAATAAAACCAGGAACAAATAAGAAGCCGTTCAAACCTGGAACATGGAAAAAAACATAGTTCCAGGAATAATAAAGCACATGCTTCCAGCAGGACAAATTGTGCACATGTGCTGATGTCTTCCCACCAAAATATAATTATGATAATGCATCTATTGTAGTCAGGTGTGCTTTCATCAAGAGATGGAGGGCACTTCCACAAGGTGAGTTTTGTTCTCATTTAGTTTGTTTCTTTTCATTTAAGAGTTACAAAGGTAAAAGATTTGCTAATTAATCATTGTTTTGCCAATCATGTTAGCCAGTTTCAGTCCCTAAAGCCTGGAGAAGAAAAGGTTAGCAGTTGTTTTAGCTAGCAACTTGTCATCTACCAAAATGAAAACAAAGATTTTAGGTTTCAGTCCAGTGTAGGGCTTTAAATGCTTTTAATATTAGATCCTGAAAACCTGGGTGTTAGCTGTGGAGATCTCCACTGAACAATCATTAGACCTTGTTGAGTGTTTGGTATGGCATTTTATTTTGTGACGTTGGCAAGGAAAACCTTACATAACACAAATTTGATACAGTTTTTGTGTGGGAATACACTGTGAAATAGTTTCCATAATTCCGTTGAATTCTGATCGCAAAATGCATGAGTTTGTAACTGCCGACCAATGCATTGCCTTTGCCTAAAATTGAGCTAACCTCAGGAAATCCAGGAATTTGTTTCTGTGTCCTGGCTTTAGTATTCCAAATGGTTTCATTTATTTATTGATTGATTATTGTTTGTTTTTTGACATTCCAGGTTTCGGTGATCCTGCATTTAGGATTTTTTATGCGTTCTGGGTTTTAGTAATTTTGTGCTCTGGGTTTCATTATTCCTGCATTTTGGGTTTAAGTATTCCGGCATTCCGGCATTCCGGCATTCCGGCGTTCCGGCGTTCCAGCGTTCCAGTGTTCTGCGCTTCAGTACAACCCAAGTCTTATTTAATAATTTTACAGTAAAGCAGCAGATTTTTTTCCATTGTTATAATGATGTTACTGTTTGTAACACTTTTTACTTGTGCGTTTGCCCATGAATAACGCAGAAGAAGAATGAGATTTTTGCCACCGCAAATTGATTGGTGTGAATGCGATTTAGGCACTGTATGCAATATTACATGCAATGGTGGGCTTGTGTCTGGCTAGGCCTTTAAGTATCTTGATGAACAAACACAACATTGAGACTAACTTGTCCTCTCCAGGTCAGTTATTTAGCAGCTTACACTTTATTTCAGCCTATGATATTTCGACCTTGGTCAACTTACAGTCGTTGACAGATGAACTTATTAAAAATCCCACGTCAGTAAAAGATAAATTTACGATTCATACACAATATTCGTTTTATTACTCACCACGTTTTGAGGTTTATTGGCTTAAAAGGCTTCACAAACGTCGCTCTTTGGACAATCACAGACGCCATATTGAATTCTTGACTAGCCTGAGTGACACCCCCGGTTGTGACCTTGTTTGCGTGACTATCGCGCGAATTTACATAAAGTCGTTCAGTTGTCTTGTTTGATTTGTTACTACATATATATCTCAAGCAGAAAACGGTTTTCTTGGAGTTACAAGGACTTCGAAAAAAACCCGGTAAGGTGATAAGAAATTCTTGCCATTAAAGGTGCTAAATTTGTTGCTTTAAAAATCCGAAATAAATCTTTTGGAAGCGGCTGGCAACTTGAGACTCGGTGCCCGTTTCATTTTGTTTTAATAAAAGCGACTGTTTTTCTCGTTTTCAGCAACAAACGTCGCCCCAGATATCGTTAATTATATGAAAACTAGAATCTAGAAGACTTTTTGTAGACTTTGCCTCGTAGTAATTCAGAGAACTTTCTCAGTTTCCGAGCATCTGCTGAAAGTACGAATTTACGATTCCTTTTGTATACTCGGCCTCCACATTTTAATTATGTAGATGTTATTTGCCAATGTTTCGGTTTCGTCCGGGTGTCTCGAGGTCAATTTCCAAAGGCAATCTTTATTCTTCATCCTCAGTTCTAAATGACTCACGCTTCGATGCTTTCCTCTTGAAACAACTGATGTTGAATTTTATGTTATAATTGCGACTTAATTAAATAAGACAACGGTTATAGAGTGTGTATACCAGCGCTAAACTCCTGCTGCAGTTTTCGATGTTATTACTTGTCAACGTCAATTAGTGAAATGCATTACTATCACTGTGCGTTTTCTTTTCTGTTCTACGAAAAAGGCGTTAAAATTGATTCGTTTGAGGGTATGCAAAAGTAAGTTCTTGCGGCAGTCATTTGCATAAATTTGTCACGAATAGTTTTATTTTCCGTGAAAATTGAACTCGCCCCAACTCGCCACAGGTTGTTGCAGGATCACACTAGTTATGCAACACTTTGAAATGGTATACTGTGGAATATCCCACGAGTCACTTGTATTTTCACCGCTATACACACCAGCCTTTAGGCGAGTGTGTATACCAAGAAAATGCAAGTGACAAATGGGATTTTTCATAGTATACCATGCCGTAGAAAATATACACGCAGAGCATGATGGGAAGGTTGGGTGTTCACCGGTGCTGATGTTGGTTTTAGTGCGTTTATTTTAGTTCACAATGTCATACAAAGAAGCAAATGATGTGTTAAACTACTGGCTTGGAGGTGGTGATCGTTCAAAGAGACCACGCTGGTTCGGAGGTGGAGAGGAAGCCGCGCAAGAATTACGAGACAAGTTTGGAACGTTGGTCAGTGAAGACCCCACAGTTCTGGTCCTGTATTTGTCACGCAACGCTACGCTCACAATGTACACACATGTTGAGCGCTTTCACGTAACGTCATCAAATTCTAAAATCAAAAACTAAAGAGCCACCAAAGTTTTTATCCTCATCAGGCAAAAGAGGTGCTAAATTCATTTCTGTTTACATCGTTTCAGATCCAGAGTGTCTTTTTTGTTAATGGGGTTATGGTGTTTATTATCCTTCAAATATTTTTCCCACCACAAGGGATCTGAAAATCAGGGAATATCACTGTCACTAACCATTCAATAAATAAGGGACGGACCATTATTTTTTGAAGGGGGGGTAGGGGGTGGGCAATTTGGAAAAAAGTTCCTGCACAGCAAAAACTGCTGAAAAAAGCGTGCAATGGAGCCATGAGGAGCCATGAGGAAAGAAATTGAGCAAGTGCTTTCTATTATCCAGGACCTATTTTTGATATTTAAAAAAGCTTGGAAATCCAATGGTGCTCTATCGAGCTCTTATAGGATCTTATATCTGATAAAACTAGAACCTCAGAAGGATTGGCAATTTTTAATTTTGGCGATATGACTACATCCCATGAAAATTAAGGGACGTGTAGGTGTGGCTGGGTTTGAAATGGTCACGTGCAAATGCTACTTAATGTAACCTTTACCTCTTAGCTTGCGGAAAACCTGAATACACCCGTTCGTTTTCTTTACAGGTTGAGAAAGCAAGAAACGACGAGCTAAAACATTGGGAAAATGATCCTAAAGCAACTCTAGCATTAATTATTTTACAGGATCAGTTCCTTCGCACTCTTTACAAGGTTTGTGGCAAATATCAGGTGACCAACCGACTTATATTAGTTATATACTAACCAAACGAACGTATCACTAACTCAACGAACGAACGAAAGTATGATAGCATACACGTGCGAACAAATGAGTGAATGGAGAAATTTACGAACGAGCTACCATGCCAACCAACAAACAAACGAACGCACGAACGAACGAACGAACGAACGAAAGAACGAACGAGCGAACGAGCGAACAAACGAACGAGCGAGCAAACGAACAAACGAACGAACGAACGAAAGAGTGAACCAACCAACCAACCAGCGAGCGAGCGAGCGAGCGAACGAACAAACGAGCGAACGAACGCACGAACAAATGAAAAAACGAATGAACGCACCAATATGCGCACGCACAAACAAAATATAATAATAATGAAAAAAAAGGTTCTTATTGCACATTTAGAATTCTCAATGCGCTTACAATTGCATATGATTAAAAATAATAAAAACCTAACTAAAAGATGCAATTATTAAAATCTATGACTAGGTTAAAATGAAATGTTTTAAGGTTCTTTTTAAAAATCGCTATGCTCTCAGACTGTTTGGTATAAAAAGGTAGGTCATTCCAAAGTTTCGTGGCGTAAAAAGAAAAGGATCAGACAGACGTGCCAATAAACGAATGAAAGTACACACTTACGTAGGAATGTATTCTCGAACGTATAGACTCACGAGGGAGGGAACGAACAATCGAATGAATTACCAAACGAACGAGTGCGCGAACAAAGGTAGGATGGAAAGAGGTAGGAACCGATTTAACGTGAAAGAAAAAGTCAAACCGGGAAAGTTATAGAAAGAGTTGTCTATCCAATCAAAATGCGTCTTGAAGTGTCCCACTAGGTGAATTAATATTGTTTTGGTTATTCCAGGGTAGCCCTGTGGCTACATCGAGGGATCTTTACTGTCAAGAGCTCGCCCAAAAGGTAAGTCATACAAGGTACTTTTCACATTGCACTCAAGTTTTAGAAGGAGCGTAGCCAGAAAAAATTGTGACCGTGGTAATGTCTATGGTTCATTCTTTTACTAGCTATTAAGGTGTTTATGATGACTAAAAACAACAAAACTGAAAACTAATGAGTGAGGCAAGTGCCTCGGTTTACCTGTTAGGAGCGTACGGCCCTGCTTATATAGCTGTTCGTTTCAATCATTTTCATTTTCAACCACACACTTACCAATGACACGCACTTTGTCATTGTTTCTTAATCTGTTTTACTTTTTTCTCTTTTGAAAGTTCATACAACGTGAGACTCACGACCACTTGAAGTTCAGCCCTGCTGCAAGACTTTTTCTTTATCTTCCACTCGAACACAGTGAGGATAGAGGGAAACAGGTACACGAGACATTCATTTAAAAAAGCCGTGAGGTGGAAATCACGTTTTGTCGTTCTAAAAGTAATGCCAATCCCACTCATCCTCCTCGCCCCCCCCCCCCCCCCCCCCCCC